ACTGCTCACAGGTGGAGTAAACTGGCATAGAAAGCACAAGTATAAAACATGAACAAATAAACAGACATCAAATTGCCAAACTAGCCTAAAAAGCATATGTATATCAAAAACATACCCTAAATATTAATAGGTAATAAAGAGTGCACTGTGATCTAAAACTGCAGATTGAACATTTTCAATTAGTGGACATGACCTAGAGTGAAATTGACTGAGGAGATGAAGGAGGGAAATGTGGATGGAGAAAGAGCGGGAATGAGAGAAAAAAATTTATATTAGCCCATCAGCAGGAATACAGGTGATCCTATTAATATAACAAATTCATTTTTTTTCATTAAAAATATTTTGCTTTTTGATTAGTATGTTGGACTGAATATATGACTTAATACTGTATATGACTTAATAGGCGGTTGATTCGGTATAAAAGCCCAGCTTTGGGTTCAGAAACTGTGCTGTATCTTTATTTTTAACACCTACCAGGGCTCTATTTTGCAGTACTGCAGCATCTTGTATGGTGTGGCTTCTTCTGTTATTTACAAAATGAGAATTCTCTGAAAATGCCACTGCTCTTTTCTCTTGAGAGAAAAGTGTTTATGTTGTCTTATGAAAATGTGCCCATGCTGTGCTTTCAAAATGCAACAAATACTTGTAAGACTCTCAAGCATACATTAACAATCCAATTTTACACATTAAAAGTTACAAATCTAGAGACTTTCATTTTAAAAATGACTTTTGAATTATATTAATTTATTCTTCAATTCCACTACAGAGTAAGCTGAACTTGTATAATTTTCTGCTTGTTTGACCTCTGTTTCAGAGCATTCTTTGTTTGATACAACCAAGGGGTCTTCACCAATCTTCGAATATACAAAATGGGGTTCCATGCCAACTTCTGCATATTCTGAGCTGGGTTCAAATTGAGGTTTCATACCAACTTCTGAATACACTGAGATGGTTTTATTTTCAGATTCCATGCCAATTTCTGAATATTCTGAGCTGGGTTCAGCTTGAAGTTTGTTCTCTTGGCCTATACCAATTGCATAGGGTGTACCTTTGAACACACACACATACATTCCATTAAAGTGATTGTAAACCCTCATCTTGTAAAACAATCCATTCAATTTAAAATAGAAATTAAAGGCAAAACATTTGTGTATAGATATAAAAACATTATAAACACCTGTTTTCCCTTTTTTATAAGCGATCACATACCCTCTGTTCTCTGCATATGAAGTGTCAGCACAAATCTGATCATGGAAGGGGAGCAGGCTGAGTTCTCAGCACAGCTAGAAAACTGACCATGCTGTGCTCTCATGCTTATTGTGGTCAGTTTTTAGGAGGAGAGCAGAAGGACTGACAGGAACACCAGGTATTTCACACAAAGGAAGCAATAAAAAGAGAACAGGATACTTTTCCTACAAGTACATGGTACAGCAGACATATGTCAGGAATATGAAATTCTGGGTTTACAAATTCTTTACACACATAATAATGAACATTCATACTTTTGGGTAGAGCCAGTATATTAGCCTGGACAAATGTGAAGGATTGAAATCATGTATATGTAAATGATAAGACCTTTTCAAAATATATTTGTTTGTTTACGACACTATGTACATTCACTATTCACTGCATGTTGGGTAAGTTCCTTGGTGACTGAGAACTATGATATAATCTGTGCAGCACAGAACTGTGGGAAATCAAAATCAGTCAAAAAAAAGTCATATTGTGCATGTAGAGATGTGCTGGTTGCTTTAAATCTTAAACAGCAGTTGCAAAGCATTTTTTTTTTTTCCCTCTTTGTGAGTGACAGACAGGGAAAGCAGGACTGTGCTCTGATTGGTTGTTGCTACAGCTGAGAAGGATCCACCCATAGCAGAACTGTTGCAGCTGGACATATGATTGGCTGTGGAGGAAAGGAGAGAGGAAAAAGGAAGAAGAAGCACATGTGGGGAGGCAGACATTTCCAGGGGACCGCATGGAGCAAGGGCTCCTGGTGTAAAGTCACACAGTCTCACTCTCTGTGCTGCTAGAGCCCATGGACTGGGCTGGGAGTGTGTAGCAGAGAAATTGTTGCAGGAGGACAGTGTGCAAACTAAGGATTGTCCTGCCTGACACTCAGGATTACAGCTACTAAAGTGCAAAGTGCAAAGTCTGGAGCTGCTGAAAGAGAGGATTTCTACTGCTGTCTAATGCTATCTAGAGGACAATCCAGAAACAGTGAGTACTCTGTAATGAAAGGGGATTTTGATATTGCTGCATTTGCTGTTCATCTCTGGAGAATGGTCATGAGAATGCCTGCTCTCTAATTCTCAGAGTGACACAGATCTTGGAAAGCCCAAGGCGCTCAGAATTAGCTATTCCTGCTGCTGATTGATGAGAGAAATCTGTCACTGTATATTACTGGTTTGTCTCCTCAAGACTTGTGCTGTGGCTGAAGAATGTGTTTAGTTCCAAGTCCCCACAGAAGCTTGCTGCTTTGAATATACTGAGCAAGTGTCAGTATATCAGGATTTCACCTGTATGGTAAAGATTTGTTGAAGTGTTGTTTTTTTCTTCTATTGCAATGTTCACTGGAAGATTCTGCTTAAAGGAGACTGTGCTATCCTGCTACCCCTGGATTACAAATACTCTCCCATGCAGAGAGTGAGCGCTCTTCCATTGATTAAAGGGCCCCAATGTTGAGAGACTTTAAGTTTCATCCCACTGGCCAGTGGTTAGGTAGGACATTTCTGCTCTAGATAGTACTGCTATAGCAAATGTCGGTAGGCTGCTGAATCTCATTGGCAGTTGTTGTTTCATGTGTCAATGTCGCCCTAGTCAGTGTGATATTAGCCAGTTTTGGAGTCTTTGGCGAGTGAATTGTGACTTCTTACTGTGTTATGCAAAGTGGTATCTGTGTTTTATGTACCTTACCTATGTTAAATCAGCTAGTTCTTTTTCAGGGTTTGTCTTCTTCAATAAAACCCATATAAAATATTCTCAGAGTGTCGAAGTGTTCTGTGTATAATCGGATCTGTCACCAGAATCAGGTGAGAGCTGAACCTATATATCTAGCCAAGCATCACTCAAGGGTGTGCTACATGTAACACTATCTTTTTTTTTTTGGTGCATTGGGTCTGACCAGGATGTTCATTCTTGTTGTGGAGGTATAGAAAGAAGTAAGATATTTACAATATCTCACAGAAGTGAGTACACCCCTCACATTTTTGTAGATATTTTATTACATCTTTTCATGTGACAACACTGAAGAAATGACACTTTGCTACAATGTAAGCTAGTGAGTGTACAGCTTGTATAACAGTGTAAATTGGCTGTCCCTTCAAAATAACTCAACATACAGCCATTAATGTCTAAACCGTTGGCAACAAAAGTGAGTACGCCCCTAAGTGAAAATGTCTAAATTGGGCCCAAAGTGTCAATGTTTTTGTGTTGCCACCATTATTTTCCAGCACTGCCTTAACCCTCTTGGGCATGGAGTTCACCAGAGCTTCACAGGTTGCCACTGGAGTCCTTTTCCACTCCTCCATGACAACATCACGGAGCTGGTGTATGTTAGAGACATTGCGCTCCTCCATCTTCCGTTTGAGGATGCCTCACAGATGCTCAATAGGGTTTAGGTCTGGAGACATGCTTGGCGAGTCCATCACCTTTACCCTGAACTTCTTTAGCAAGGCAGTGGTTGTCTTAGAGATGTGTTTGGGGTCGTTATCATGTTGGAATACTGCCCTGCGGCCCAGTCTTCGAAGGGAGGGGATCATGCTCTTCTTCAGTATGTCACAGTACATGTTGGTATTCATGGTTCCCTCAATGAACTGTATCTCCCCAGTGCCGGCAGCACTTATGCAGCTCCAGACCATGACACTGCCACCACCATGCTTGACTGTAGCCAAGACACACTTGTCTTTGTACTCCTCACCTGGTTGCCGCCACACACGCTTGGCGCCATCTGAACCAAATAAGTTTTTATTGGTTTCATTAGACCACAGGACATGGTTCCAGTAATCCATGTCTTTAGTCTGCTTGTCTTCAGCAAACTGCGGGCTTTCTTGTGCATCATCTTTTAGAAGAGGACGACAGCCATGCAGACCAATTTGATGCAGTGTGCGGCGTATGGTCTGAGCACTGACAGGCTGACCCCCCACCCCTTCAACCTGTGCAGCAATGCTGGCAGCACTCATACGTCTATTTCCCAAAGAGAACCTCTGGATATGATGCTGAGCACGTGCACTCAACGCCTTTGGTCGACCATGGCGAGGCCTGTTCTGAGTGGAATCTGTCCTGTTAAATTGCTGTATGGTCTTGGCCACCATGCTGCAGCTCAGTTTCATGGTCTTGGCATTCTTCTTATAGCCTAGGCCATCTTTATGTAGAGCAACAATTCTTTTTTTTAGATCCTCAGAGAGTTCTTTGCCATGAGGTGCCATGTTGAACTTCCAGTGACCAGTATGCGAGAGTGAGAGCGATAACACCAAATTTAACACACCTTCTCCACATTCACACCTGAGACCTTGTAACTCTAACAAGTCACATGACACCATGGAGGGAAAATGGCTAATTGGGCCCAATTTGGACATTTTCACTTAGGGGTGCACTCACTTTTGTTTCCAACAGTTTACACATTAATGGCTTTTTGCTGAGTTTTTGCAGGGACATCAAATTTACACTGTTATACAAGCTGTACACTCACTACATTTCTTCAGTGTTGGCACATGAAAAGATATAATAAAATATTTACAAAAATGTGAGGGGTGTACTCACTTCTGTGAGATACTGTATATTGTTTTAGTACCCTTTTAGCCTATATATTGGTTGCAGATATCCGTTCAAACTTTAGCAGTGAGCCATAGAGCAATTTGAAATATTGTAGATTAAGGACTGTGCTAGTAGATTCTGTGGATGATGCTAGGGATTTACTGTGTTCAGTCTATAAGTACAATGTCTTCCTATCATTCATATTTAGTGTGAGTCACCATATTGGTGAAATACTTACATTCATATTCTGTGGGCAGTGTGTTGGAATGGCTGAAATGTTAAGAAATAACACATTAATATATCACTTATTTGAATTTTTATATATTTCAGCTTGTGCAATTAATTTAAAAACCATAAGATATAAGAAAATGTTAAGATGAAGCGATCAGTTTTTTATGACGTGTTACTCGGCAGATTTAAAATGTAACGGAGGGAAGAGGGAAAGAGAGAGAGAGAGGGGGGGGGGGGGGGGAGAGAGAGAGAGAGAAAAGAAAGAGAAAGATCAGGAAGGCCAAATATAGCAATTAACACGTTATTAAAAAAAAACTTTTCAAAGTTATGGACAAAAAAAACAATGCACTGGACACTACAGGCAGTTCAAGCAGTTTGAAACTTTAGCTCATTTTAAACTAAATGATAAAATGTGGAACAGGGTACTGCAGAGGAAGAGGACTGAGCTGGGAAGTTCAGAATTCTGCATGGCATGATATGTATGCAAAATTATAAATATATATTCCAATTTGTTCTTAGACCAGCTTTAAAGATTTTCTCTACATTCTGGTTATGTCCTAAAAAGTCAACTTGCTACTTTGGCTCTAAGCCCAATCGTTAGGTGGTTTAGATAGAACTGGATTCCAAAATTTAGAGATTTTTCAACACAGCATGTTTGGAAAATCTGTGGGTTTGTCATTCATTATGGTGCTGATGTATATTACTTTGAATGAAGCATAGTGTAATTGCTTTACATACATAAAGCTACACTAAAATCTTGGTGCAAACAGTACTTCACCTGTGATTTGCTCTTCTCTGTTTCCCTGTTGAGGAAAAAACAGAAGTAGGATGACAATTTAGCTCACACACAAGTTGTTTTCATACAAGTTATTTTCTGCAAAAAAAACATTTTCTATAATAACTCATACGAGTTATTTTCTGAAAATGAATGATCTTACCTTTATATTTTATGCAAAGTATCATGAGACACAGAATAGCACCAACTGCAACAAGTCCTCCAATGGTTCCAAGGACAATAGAAGAAATACGGTCTGACAAATAGAACATTAAGATAGTCAAAACAGAGATTGCAAGAATGATTTTCTGTCTTTGCTGATGAAATATGTAATGTACACTTAATTGTATCTGCCAGATGATTGCAGATTCTGTGATCACCAACCAATTAAAATCCATAGAAAACTATTTTTTTCATTTTGTAAAGAGTTTTTGAAAGCTGAACTCCCCTCACACTGCAAAGATTAAATGCTTGTTTAAAGGGAACATAAACATTAGGTTTACTTACCTTTTTGCTTGCTTCCCAGACAGCTGCTACTCTTCTCTGACCTTTTCTCTCTAAAGCTCCTGGTTTTGAGTGGGCTTTTGGCATCACAACTTGCAATGCAGGATTTCTGGTCCTCCATTGTGAGTGATGTTGTCAAAGTCCCTGTGACCAGCAGAGCAACAAAGAAAATTGGCTCTGATGGACCAGTTGTGCAGCTGGGAGGAAGCCTGTGGGAGCAAGGGATAAGGAAAGTAAAATTGCTTTTTATTTTATCCCTAGACAAAACTGAGCAAAACTGAATGTTGGGTTGCCTGTAAAAGTAAAAATAATGAAATAATTGGGTTAAAAACAATAGTGCAAAAACTGACCCTGGACTTTAAGTACACCACAACATAAAGATTATTGGTAAAAAACATTTTATTTGGCATCAAAATTGTTAAAATCAAATTTAAATAATCAAATATGAGACAATATGCAAATCAGTATATGCAGTTCTATTTCCTTATTACCCCTCCACCTTCCTAGCCCTCAATTAACCACTGATTCAGCATGTGTGTAGCATTTGTGTCTAACATATTATCACATCATAAATGACGGCTTGTGGAATGGTGTAGCTTCCTCTATATACAGTATTTGGCAGGTACAGGATAGCCCATTGCTTAGTAGAGGGCATGAGGGGTAAAAAGATGCCAAGCATTGTTTTTACACTTAAATATTTTAACTTGATGTTAACAATTTTGATAGCAAATAAAATTATGTTTATTAGTACTTCATGTAATTGACAGATTCTACTCCAATTAGTCAAAACAGCCTGTACTTTCTGAATCACTTCACAGAAGTGAAAAAATAAATCAAAAGTCCTTATCTGCATGTTTGCTCAGTGGTTAAAAGCATTGATGCAAGAGGGACCCATTTGAAAAGTGCCAAGTAGTACAAAGTAGCAATGGCAGTCTGTGTCTCAGGAAGGGTTTCCTTTAAAACAGGGGTCTCCAAACTTTTCAAACAAATGGCCAGTATACGGTCCTTCAGACTTTAGGAGGGCCAGATTAGTGCCAGTGAGGATAGAATATGTCCTGGTCCCAGCGTCAGTGAGAAAAAAACATGGCCTCAGGACTGATGGTCAGTAGGAGGAGTAGTGCCCCATCATTGGTATTAGTGGGGAAGAATAGTACACCATCATTGGTTTTAGTGGGAAGAATTGTACACCATAATTGGTTCTAGTGGGAAGCATAGTACACCATAATTGGTTTCAATAGAAGAAGTTCTGCCGCATTGTTGGTCTCAGTGAAAGGAATAGTGCCCCAAGGGCTGGATAAAGGGTAGTAAAGGGCCATATCCAGCCCTCAGGTCGCAGTTTGGAGACCCCTGCTTTAAAATAACAAAAAGCAGGGTCTGACTGGACACCAGAGAATTCATGCAGAGTATTGGCAGCACTGCTCAGCCTAGGAAGTGACTCCTGAACCCAGAACCAGAAACACAAGATGTGGATCATCTCATCATAAAAGCAATCACTGATACCAATGCTGGACACTCTTTCCCCTTGCTGACCACCAAGGCAGGGGACATTTTTTTCACTCTTATTGGGGCATACATTACATACTCCTGACCACAGCTAGCTATACTATGTGCTTTATATTATATACTCCTGACCACTACACTGTATACACTATGTTGCTTAGTTTTGGCTCCTGAATTTTGTAAGCTGTACTACATTACATATTTCTCACCAAATGTACATTTTTTAAACCAGGTATTGGTTGCCAAGTAGCCCCCATCTATATAACAAAGACAATCTAAATCAAGGTAGTGTTAGACAAAGTATAAACTCCATGCCCATTTTCCATGTTCAGAAAAGAATATGTAAAAGAGGAGTTTCAGGTTTAGAGCTCCTGGCCAAGGTGTTTTTTATGGGGGGGGGGGGGCTAAAAAATCAGGGAGTCAGATAAGGGGAAGGCCACAGGGCAATAATTCAAATACAGTGAGGGGGACGGGCATAAATATAACAAGGAGGCAATAGGGCAGCAGGCGACAATCTGGTACAGCAGGGACTTAGTCCCTGGGCAACAATCCAGGCACAAAGAAAGAATGGACATTGGTCCGGTACGGCAGTGGTGAAGTCCTTAGCACAGGACAACAGTGTGGGCACACAGCAAGGATGGACAGAGGGCAACAATCCAGGCACAGCAGGGACAGGCAGCAGTAGACAAAGCAAGGGTTCAGTTGCTCACCAGCCAACAGCAGCATCATTGAAGGAAGTCCAGGCACACTGTCAGGGAAAAGGAGGTCCAAAAGGCAGGGGTCCTTCACCAGCCCATTGCAAGTCCTCAGAGGGCTGTATGTCCTGGCTGCAGCTTCAGGACCACACAGAAAGCAGCTGAAGGAAGAGAAGGGCAGAGGGTAGAGTAGCGTGCCAGTGTCCAGAAAGCCTCACAGACAATGCCGAACTAAAAGTCCCAGCAGCGCAGAAAGCAAAGCACAGTCTATACAGAACTATCTGTCTCAGTAGTACCATGCATCTTTTAGCCCCCTTCTAGTCAGACCTGCAGCCATGAGCTCCTCTGTCCATCACTGATGTAAACTCTGAACAGTCTGACACTGGCTGGTATTTTGAATTCAGCCAGAGATCTCAGCTCCCATTTGTCGTTGCCAAGTTGTCTGGTTCCATCCTGGTACAGAATACAATAACTTATGCGCCACCTACTGAATGCAGCCTCACTTCCTACCCCCTGCGGGGACATAGAAACTCACAAACCAAATTATGCAAAGTTGACATTGTTACTCCCTGCATTTGCATTAAGACCCTCAGAGATGGTTTGAACCTCAGCTGGGACCAGCCAAGATTTGAACCATCTATGGGCAGGCTGATTGTACCCAAGACGATTGTTGTATGTGGGATTTTACATGCGATTATTGCTAGCAGCTATTATAGCTGCAAACAGTAATCTCTGTGTTCTACCGGCATGGACAGCTCCCCCTGTCTCCCTTACGGGAGAAACAATAGCTCTGCAGGAGAGATTCTCCCATCAACACTGTGTTGATAGGAGAATCGAGCAATTTTCAAAGAAGATCGCATCATGTATGGCTTCCCTTAGAGATTGTCAAATTCAAAAAACAAAAATTAAGAAAAATCCAATATTTCTGATCTCCATTAGATTGTCTTTTACCTCTTCCTCATTGCTTAGAAAGATAAAGCCCAACTCTGAGCTCAGGTCACCCTCATACACCCTTTCCTTTAAAAAAATCTACTCATACCTTTTTTCAAGTGTCTTAAGTCTAGAGACATCACAGGTCCTTTTCACCCTCCTTTTCCTCCAGGTGTCAGCAGGTCCTAAATTTTGCATAGAGCAGAGCAATGTAACTATGTGCTACTGCTCTCTGCAGTGTTCATCTGTGAGTCCAGGATGAGGGGACTGGCCCTTGGTTGCCTAGGCTCACAGGGACTGGGTTAAATGATGCTAGGCACTAGTAGGAAAGGAAATGATAGCTTCTAGGGACTACAGTTTTTTCCGTTATGCCATTGGTTATGCTCATTTACAGAATAGAAACTTTGATTGTTGCAATATTTTCCTTCTAAAGGATCATTCTACAGTCCCTAGGGAAGGGGCTAAATAACAAGTACCTTTTTTTCGCTGCATCGCCTCCTGGAACACCAATGCTGTAGAAAAGCACAAGTCTTAACAACATTAGGCTGATGTTTTTAGGGGCTTTGGTGGGGGATTCCATTTTTGTTGGTGACCCTTCTTGAAGCAACCACTTTAAAAACTGAAAGTGTACCTTGGTGTTCATTAATGTGCATTACTGGTGTTTACCAAGCTTTGACATGGAAACTATTATCATTCATTGCATAGCAAATGTAGAACTTGTATATAACTTGGTATATCAATATGCCTGGTATATAAGATTAATTTATATTGCATAATTAGAAATTAACATACCAGTAGTCTCTGCATACTCATTAATAACTTGAATACGTTTTTGGTAACTTTAAATAAATCTTTTATTTACTCTTTTCCATTTATGGGCACTTTTATCAAGGTAAAATACAATACAGATATACTCCCCACTTTGGGAAGTTGTAATATTTTAAGCATCCAGATAATGAAATTAATTGAAGAAGATGCTGCAGAGACCTGACTAACAGCAGAGAGGAGGGTTGAGTAAGTAAAAAAAGGGGAACAGAGGGGCACCAGACTAAGTGCAGCATAAAATGATATAATTTACTGAAACACATACAATTGGCAACTCACTAAAAGGTGAAAAAGACAGGCATGCCTATAAGTTGTCCGGATATCTCCCCTGGAGGTTCCTGCTTCCAGGAGGTTAGGGTAGTCTGGCGTGGCTGGGCTGTGGGGCTGGAACATCCAAGCACGGCCATCCGCCACGATGGCCAGCGTGGAACGCAAGAAGGCGACAGACCGGACGTGATGTCAATGGGGAGCTTGATGATGTAAAAGTGGGCGATAATGCATTTTGAAGCTTCTTCTTCAGACCTGATTGGCCAGTAGGAATGGCCATCTTTAACTGTTTCAAATGGGGCGGGATCGGTAGGGGAATGGAATTACAAGGAATGTGGCCATACTTCAAGGGGAACATTATTTTCACACCATACAATAATGGAACAATATATATCTCGGTAGTATGCCATGAGTATATACAATTGGAAATATGTAAAAATGCATAAAAATAAATAAAGAAAACAATTGCATTTAAATATCTCTAGACATATGCTTGCCCATACTGTATATACACTCATATACAGGAATACCCACATACTGGTACAATTACAAAATGTAACAAGGGGTGTTTAAAAACCTTTAAATAAAAATGGAATCTGAAGACAGGTAAAAACAAAAATGATAAACAATTGATCTGCATGAAATTAAAAAATAAGAATATATCTGTACGAGTGTTCACACCGATGTGTATACATATGGGCTCTCATAGTTTGCGTAACTGGCATACGTATACATATGAAGTAATTATTACGTTTAGCACTGATACCATTATATTCAAAATTGAGAACCTAGGGGATGGACAAGAACAGACATTATTAAGTTACATAAATATATGTACTAAGGAGTTGGAATGAAGGTGGGGGGAATGTGGTATCGCAAAAACCTGGAAGTGTGTAAAGCAAAAATAAGATAAAAAACAAACACTAAAAGGAAATTATCTGTATGTATCTCTAGATAATATTATGTCTATCCATATATATATATATATATATATATATACACACACACACACACATATATATATATATATATATATATATATATATATACGGTCTAGTTGGCATAACTGGGGGCAAAATTGCTTTGCCAATCTTTTGCAGGTAGTACTCATTTTCAAATTGGAAATAATTGTGTTCAAGACAAAAACTTGTGGCAGTAAGGATGAAATTAGACTGTTTGGAATGGGATTGAGGTTGGAGGTGGGATTTGTTGGAGACAAATGTAGAGCAGTTTGTAGGCCCAGCTCTTGGGGTATTATGAACATACATGGAGGTAGACCCATAATTACATGGGCTCCCAAGTGTATGGATGCAATAGTTTAACAGGTGAGTGCCATCCCGGATGTAGGACAGGAGGGCCTGTGCAAATGGTTGAAGAAAACTATCAATATATAGGGAATAACTGGTGGTGATACTCTCCAAGGACGCCACTACAGGGCGCCCTGGTGGATTTTGTAGACTTTTGTGCACCTTAGGGAGATGGTAAAAATATGGTACTTTGTAGAAATCTCTACAAAAGAAGGCTGCCTGCTGTTTGGAAAATATCCCATTTTGAATGGCAATAACAATGATAGATTTGGATTCATTGATAAACTTGGAAAGGGGATCAATGGTGAGTTGTTGTTTTTTTGCTTTACACATTTCCAGGTTTTTGAGATACCACATTCCCCCCACCTTCATTCCATCTGGGTTGGTAAGTAATCAATAAGGAAATATAACCCCTTATATGTGTGGCTATACATACATATATTTAATGTAAATTAATAATGGCTGTTCTTGTCCATCCCCTAGGTTCTCAATTTTGAATATAATGGTATCAGTTCTAAAACCTAATAATTACTTCATATGTATACATTTGCCAGTTAGGGACATATGAGAGCCCATATTTATACATATTGGTGCGATCACTCATACAGATATATTCTCATTTTTTACTTTCATTTTTTTATTTTTCAATTTCATGCAGATCAATTGTTTTATAATTTTGTTTTTTCCTGTTTTACATCCCATATTTATTTAAAGGCTTTTAAACACTGCTCTGTGTTACATTTTGTAAATATACCCGTATGTGGGTGTTCCTGTAAATGAGTGTATATAAATGCACAAGCATATGTCTAGAGATATTTACAGGCAATTGTTTTCTCTATTTATTTTTATGCCTTTTTTCATGTTCCAGTTGTATATACTCATGGTGTACTACCGAGATATATATTGTTCCATCATTGTATGGTGTGAAAATAATGTTCCCCTTTAGGTATGGCCACATTCCTTGTAATTCCATTCCCCTGCCGGTCCAGCCCCATTTGAACCAGTTAAAGATAGCCATTCCTACTAGCCAATCAGATCTGAAGAAGAAACAGAAGTTTCAAAATGCATTACCACCCACTTTTACGCCATCAAACTCCCCGTTGATGTCACTTCCAGTCCGGCGCCATCTTGCGTTCCAAGCTGGCTATTGCAGCAGGACAGCAGCACTTGCATGTTCAAGCCCTACATGCCAATTGTATGTGTTTCAATAAATCGTATCATTTTATGCTGCACTTAGTCTGGCACCCCTCTGTTCCCTTTTATTCTCACAGAGTTCCAGCTTTGCTCTCAAGGGTTCTGCCACGGATGCTGCTTAGTTTTCATTTTGGACTTTATATGGAGTTTTATCTATTATAACTAACATTCCTCCAGCGCCAATTGTATACCATATCTTGGGTAAGTAAAAATGTATTTTATTCTCTCCCTAGACTTAAACAAGTAATTAACCCTTGCAGCATGGGTACCCGTAGTTGTTTTACTGGTGTTTACCAAGCTTTAATGTGGAAACCATATTCACATGTATTGCATGACAAATGTAGAACTTGTATGTGGTATATCAATATACTTTACTGTCATTATTATCTTCCAGGGTGTATGTTAATATAATATTAATATGTAATGCATAATAAGAAGTTAACATACCAGTAGGCTTTGTCTCTCCATTGGTAACTTGGATAACTGTTTTATTTACTCTTTTCCATTTATAGACACCTTTATCTAAGAAAAATACAAAGCAAAGATATTCTCCACTCTGAGAGGCTGTAATATTTTCAATGTCCAGATAATGAAGTGAACGTGTTTGGTTACATCTTTGATAGATTCCCTCAAGAGGGCAACACAGATTATTGTGTGAATATTCGAAAGAATCTGTATCCTTTTCCACCGAAGATAAGCACCTAGTGGTTCCGTTATGATATGTAGTTATCCATAGCAAAGCATATGAAACAGTTAGGTTAACATGACATTGAAGAGTGACCTTTTCGCCTCCCACATACGTTGCTGCATTACCTTTATTTTCATGGGTATCTGCAAGCAAAAAAAGTATCAAAAAGTGTAAAATCTTATTCTTACAATATGATCTTTACAACAATGGTAATAAGTTTCAGTCCTTATAAGGTGATTTTATAGGTGGTTTCCGGTGGCCTGGCTTACCCTCTCGCTTCTTAAAGCACACCTGTCTTTGCTCATTTGCTTTAACTTCTACCTGCCCATCCCAGTCAATATATACTTACTTTTTATTAGCTCCCTTGCTGCATTGTTCAGTGCCAGGAGCAGAAAGAAATCCCTGGTACTTCTAGGCACAGTGGAGCATGTGGCTTAATCTTGTGACAACACAAGGCCCATACATACAGCCACAGGAAAGTCCATAATTCTTTGTGAGCTACAACTCTGGCGACTTAGAGCTTACACAAAGCTGTGATTTCACACTTCTACATCTAGGTCTACACTAAAAGAAAACCTGTGCTTTGCCCTGTAGATAGGTAATGCACCATAGTGAATGGAAAGTAAATGAAGGTCTTACTGAATCTTTTTGGTCTTGAAGTTTCACTAGGCATGTCAACAGTGCCCGCCGTTCCCACTATTGTTCGACCATGCTGCTCAGTAGGAGATAAATAGCTACAGTAATTAGATGTGAATCTCTTCGGCAGCAGGCACAAGCCTGAGAGCAGCGCTGTTAATAATAATGAAGGAAGGGGAGGGGCATGTCAACTCACCGCTGTCTGGAAAACATAATCAGAACTCTTTGTCGCTAGTCATGCAGGTGGAAGGGACATGTCAGCTCAAGTCTCAAGGCCAAAATGTATTCTGCAACATTCCCATTGAGGAGAAATGGACCGAAACATGATACCCCAGAGGTGTTTTTTTGGATTGTCAGGCGAATGTTGGGGCAACTCAATGGTATCCATTCCTTCATCCTGCAGGAACTGCCTACATACTCTCGCCATATGAGGCAGGCATTGTTGTGCATTGGGAGGAACCCAGGATTGACTGCACCTGCGTAGGGTCTGACAATGGGTCCAAGGATTTCATCCTGATACCTAATGGCAGTCAGGGTGCCATTGTATAGCTTGTAGAGGTTTGTGCGTCCCTCCATGGATATGCCTCCCAAGACCATCACTGACCCACCAGCAAAATAGTCATGCTGAATGATGTTACAGGCAGCATAACGTTCTCCATGGCTTCTCTAGACTCTTTCACGTCTGTCACATGTGCTCAGGGTGAACTTGCTCTCATCTGTGAAAAGCACAGAGCGCCAGTGGAGGACCTGCTAATTCTGGTGTTCAATGACAAATGCCTATCAAGCTCTATGGTGCCAGGCAGTGAGCACAGGGCCCACTAGTGGGCGTTGTTCCCACCCTGGCTAGTTCATCTTTAATAGACAGACCATGATGAAATTGGAAGCGCAAGGCTGAGTTATTCCACTGAGTATCTGCACTCCATAGACGAAAGTCCGAAACATAGTCCTCCACTGGTCTTTGGCCGTGTTGCAAGTTGCTCAGCATGGTCTCAGCAGTTTGGTGACGGAAAGGATCAGCGTATAGCTGGGACATGGCCAGAAAAAAGGAGCTCACAGAAGTCAAAGCAGGGTAATGTTGTTATCGAAGATGATGTGCCCAGGCCTGAGGCTCCTCCAGGAGCAGGGAGATGAGGAATCCCACCTTCACATTTTCAGATGAGAAAGTTCGAGGCAGAAGGGAGAAGTACAACTCGCAGGACTTCTGAAAAGTCCTGAATTTCTTACGATCCCCAGAAAAACGTTTAGATAGGGGGACCCTGGGCTCAGGAGGAGGAGGCAGTTCATTGAAGGTACAGAGCATAGTCTGTGTAGATGAATCTTTGACCTTCTGAGAATCTGAGGCAAAAGAAGTGCTTGACACAAACTGCAGCTAGCCACATAATTGAGCAAAGTCCTTATGCAGCCCCTGCACAGCATGGGATAGTGCAGTGACTGTCAGGCAGAGTGTAGTGAGCAGAGAGGCCTTCCTTTCAGACTCCATCACTGGCTGACTGGTACTGTCCCGTACCTGATAGAAGTCTGAATTGACGAGATCAGCCTCTCTTGTATCTTCAACCCAGTCCCCACTGAAGGTGAAACAGATGGTGCCGAGGGACAGGAGGAACACGAGTGCCTGTGGATATTGATTGTGGAACTTGCAGCTGGTGATGTAACCTCAGTAAATCAGATAGGGCATCCCGTCAGGAACAGAGGAGATGCCGGAACAGTAATCTGAAGTTAAGAAAGCACTCCACTGGAACTGCAAGACCTGGGTACGTGGTTTGCCGGAACTTCTGATAAGTATGAGGCCGGAGCAGACTGTGACAACCGGAGCTGATGTAATGACAGCAGGACAGGCACTCGGCAGGACTATAGAGCCAAAACTGGAACCAGAAGTGTAGTCAGAGTAATAGCCAGAGTCCTCCTTGCACAAAGGGGCCGATACCGATCCTGCTGATGCGTTAAGGACCTTCTACAGCCCTGTCCAGCTCTCTTAGAGTAACTGCCTGTCTCCTGGAATCTCCTCTATGCTCTTAAGATTGTGCTGGGAGACACAGCAAACCTTTTGGCAATGGCACGTATTGATGTGCCATCCTGGAGGAGTTGGACTGCCTGTGCAACTTCTGTAGGGTCCAGGTATCGCCTCATGCTACCAGTAGTGACACTGACCCTAGCCAAATGCAAAGCTAGTGAAAAACAGTCAGAAACGATGAGTAGGGAAAAAGATGTCAGTGGCCTTCACCTGTAAAACCATTCCTGTTTTGGGGGTTGTTTCATTGTTGCCCATCTAGTGCACCTGTTGTTAATTTCATTAACACCAAAGCAGCTGAAACTGATTAACAACCCCCTCTGCTACTTAACTGGCCAGATCAATATCCCAGGAGTTTAATTGACTTGATGCTATACTGTGATTAAAAAGTGTTCCTTTAATTTTTTTGAGCAGTGTATTAGAAAAGTCAGTAATACTAGTGCTGAATTAGTGACTCAAAGTATTGATGCAAGAAGGTAAGCATGAAAGCCAGGCAGCTAGCATTTTTTGAAGAATGTCAGCAATAATATCCTACATATTTCGTGACAGTTATACTACAACCACATAATACAAAACATACAAAAATATAATTAAAGAAGACTAATCCTACATATAATTTCAGCTAACCAGTAATATAATTCATACCATTTTCTGGAGAGATTACGAATGTTTTGTGTGAGAATTACAAAGATCCTTAGGTGTCAAAGATGTATTTGTCTCTGTTGTGCAGGTAAATATTCCACCACTGGTTGGAACTGTATATTTGGTCGCAGATGTCTTGGAGGTAAATATGTTTAATCCTAAATCTATATTTCCATATGAATACCAGGCAATATTACTTATTTGCACTTTTTTTTCTGCATTCGATGTCAATGTTCTTTTTTTCTTTAATTCTAACATCTGTCTGATCTGTAAAATACAATAAATGCAAATTATTCTCATGTGATCAGAACTTATGTAGAAATATACATATATATATAAAGATTTCAGGCGCAATGGGGCTGATTTACTAAAACTAGAGAATGCTGAATCTGGTGTAGCTCTGCATAGAAACCAATCAACGTTCAGTTTTCGCTTTTATTTTTTTATTGTCAAATCTTAATTGATCAAACTGAAGTTAGAAGCTGATTGGCTACCATGCACAGCTGTACCAGATTTTTCACTTTACAGTTTTAATAAATTAACCCCAATCTGTAAAGAAATTCCTTTTTGGCACACCTCAGGCAGAATGTAATAACACTGTACATTGGGTACATTGAACCCTATAAACTAAACTGCACATCTTAACATAAGTTGTTTAGAAATGGCCACTGTTGACACTAGACAGTGACACCAGTGTAAACCGCTAGCTTTAGAGAATGAAGGAGCCTTTGCACATTCAGAAAGGGGGCTCCTAATTGGCTTGAAGCATGGCATCAAATAGTGCGGAGTCCCCCTTTTAGATTCTAAGGTGGTTGGGCCAGGTGGAGGGGTATAAAACTACCTGTGGGTGGGATCACATCCTCCTTGGACTTCTAGTTCCTGCATGACAAGATCACTGCACTAGTTGAGAATGGATCACAGCCATTGTACTGCAGTTCTTGCAGTAAATCCTGCAGGTCCCCCAGCCCTAGTCCTGGCCACAGCACTCATCCACACAGATAGCACAGAACTTCCAGCACTCACAGCATAGGAGCTAGTAAAACAACACAGCTGGATCATCGCACCTGGCGCCCAGGTCTCGCTCAATCTCCCCCTCCCACCCACACTGTAACTAGGCTCCTATCTCCCTGGCTATATCTGGTTATCCTAATGCCCTTACCTCTATTCCTTCTACTGCAATTTCTCCATTGCAACAAGTGTCCCATACTGTTTATTTTAAAGTAGAACTATAGACAAAACTTTTTTTTTTTCATTTTGGATAGTGTAAGGGAGGGTTATAACCCCTGTCAGATTTTCTTTCGTCATCTGTGTCCCATTGCTCAGATTTCCCTTCATTTCCTGTCCCATATCTAAACAAAAAGTGAGAACAAATCCCTGCAAATTAGAAAAGTTCCTTGGAGACCCCCAGGTCACCAGAACTATTGGCCCCATTGGAACATTCCCCCTCTATTACTTTTCTGAGGACAAGCTAAAATTTGGGATTTTCTTTTACTTTTACTCTTAATGATAATATTAAACAGGAAAAATAAGGAGGGTAAATCTCCCTAATGGGGACACAGACAACAATAAAAACTGACAAGTGTTCTGATCCATCTCCACTCTGTCAAAAACTAATAAAAAAAGGTTTTGCATTTAGTTACTTTAA